TATATATATATATAAAATAATTGCAAGATTTAAACTGAGAATTCTGAGAAAAAAAATCTGAAATCAGAGAAAAAAAAGTCACAATTTTGAGATGTAAGCTCAGAATTTGGAGAAAAAAATTTAAGTCAGAATTGTGAGATTAAAAAATCGCAATTACCTTTTTAAATTGTTTTATTCTCTGGCAGTAACAAGCTTCCGTGCAAAACAGTGTTTGCAAAAGCGTTTTCCACATTTACTGGTGAACACATAGCCTATTTATGAAGTTTTCTAAACTGCTTCCAAAAAACAAGCTCTTGTGGGGTTTGGGGTGTGTATGTTTACTATCAACACCGTTTGGTAAATTCTGTGACATTCGTTTCTGCGAATACTAGAACATCAAAGAGAATTATGAGCTTTAAGTAAATCTCTCCTCTCCGCTGTGGGATGGAACTGCAGGAGAATCTCCAAATGGCTTAAAACCTTGCAGGTGAGCATTCCAGATCCAAACCATCCAATTTGCGGCGCACAATTTTCCCTCTACTGCTTTTCCCCACAGAGAGCTTGTTCACCAAAATCTGACAGTACCAGAGGAGTGCAGAAGTCAATAACAACACGCCCAATTAGTAGATAAAACCTTCCAGAACACCCTGAGCTCTGGAACAGCTGTCTGAAGGCAGAAGATTGCTCGTGTGAATGGTGAAGGTGATTGTGGTATGCTTATACATGCACACAGTCAAAATCACCTGCTGTTCAGAAACGGTCAGAAACCAGAGCTACATGCACACAATCTGAGAGAAATATACTGGGGGAAAATGTCAGTAACTTAAAGGATACAAATGATGGATTTTCCAGACTCTTTTAAAATAGACTTGGCATGAAGTTAGCCAATTATAGCTAATTATACTATGGGGCTGTTGAACGTCTGAATCTGACTGGTTGATGAGCATTCTAAGGTGTGCAATTATTTTCAGGGGAACGCACAGCTAAAGTAGTTCCAGGCAGGCCTTGACCGCATTACATGTCCATATCACTTCGCCAAACGATTTCAGTTATTTCAAAGATCCTTACAGCCTACAACAGCAAAAGAACCAAAACCCACAACGACACTGCCCAAACAAATACATAATAAACAATACAATGAAAATTACAGATTATTTCCATGTTTTGCCACAAAATTACAAATCTGAACAATGTCTAGATGTGTGCTAACCATAGCATAAGCGGAATAATTGACTCCTTACTTAACTATTCCTTAATTAAAGGTACAGTAGCAAAAACAACCAAAAGATTTATATTTCAAATAACTGCTGTTCTTTTGAACTTTGTATTTATCAAAGAATCCTGAAGAAAATTCATCATGTTTTCCACAAAAATATTAAGCAGCACAACTGTTTTTAACATTAATAATAATAAGAAATGTTTCAAATCAGCATATTATAATGATTTCTGAAGGATCAGGTGAAGACTGGAGTAATGATGCTGAAATTCAGTTTTGCATTACCATTGATCAAATAAATGTAGCCTTGTTGAACAAAAGAGACTTATTTCGAAAACATTTTTAAAAATGTTGACGATGTCACTAGACTTTTAATATCTGCAGACAGTTTCTGGTACTTAAAGCACATAATAGCAAATTATTATATTTAATTTAGATTTCAAATACAGTTTACACCCTAAAGTGTCTTAATTTTACAACAGTATCTATGCGTATAAATTGAGCCTGTATTGAAAGCAATTATAGACCTGAACTGAACGCATCATCTAAAATTAAACTGTTGTTTTTGGTTCAAGAATCGTTGACTTAAGTGGAGTTCAGGGAGAAAAAAATAACTACGGGGGCATTTACGCGACACTGATTTCAACTAAAAACTGTCTATTCATTGGCTATTCATTTACATGACAATGGCGTTTTGCAAACTTTTGAAAAGTTTCAAAGTGCAAGTTTTTGAAAGCAATACTGTTATCATCTCCATGTAAACTGTAAAAGCACAAATTTGTGAAAACAGTGAAGTAATGTGCATGTGTATTACATGTTCAGTTTATATGGATGTGCGTGACATCGCCAACTACTGGCCTGGCATGAATAATGCAGCATGTGAATGGGGATCATTTTGACGTTGTTGTCTGTACATGAAACTTTAAAAAAAAAAAAAAAAAAAAAAACATCAGATTTTAGTACAACTATTGTTGTGTAAGCATACCCTCATTGTATGAAAAACATCCTGTTTAACTAGAAGAACGTCTTTGAATTACCTCAACAGCCAAAGTCAATTCAGTTAGACGCTGGAGGAAGTAATCTGCTGTTTGCCAATAACCCCAAAAATCTGTCAGACTATATCACTCTGTCCCTTTGTCTCCTGCGTTCTTTCTCTCTCTCTCTCTACCTCTATGACAGGATGCTGAAGTTAGCATTTCTTTATGACAGCGTATAAAGTGGGGGAAGTGGCCCATCAGCAGCCATCGATCGATTCAATCAGCGGCGCAGCACGCAGAAACACGACATACGTGCTCAAGATCGTTCAACGCTTCTCAAACATGACAGCAGAGACAATGAGACTGTGTGGTGAAAGACGGGACAAAAAAAGCGCCAGTTCCTGACTCGTATACCCTGATTAACGGCCCGGAGAATAAAACACTGATAATAAGGAAAGAAAGAATACCTTTTCTTTGTCTCTCATGGATCCCTTTCCGAGGATGGACATCTTGGTCAGTGTGTCCTCTTGCAGTCTCTTTAATGAGTTCCCTCGAGGGCCCAGGAGTTTACCCACAAAATTAAACTAATAAAGAGAAAAAGAAAAAAAGAGTTTTACAGTCATAGTTCTGTCTTCTAATTACTATTCCCTAATACTTAAGTTATGCAAAATTACATGGAAAGTATTTCTACCGCAAAAGCAGTTAAACATTTATCAAAGCCACACACTGGTATTTTAAATACAGTATTTTTCTTGCCCACATCAACCAATTAAAAAGCACTGCTTTCATTTCCATTACCCACGATCCTCTTTTTTTTTCTGGTCATGCATGCTTTAATGATCAAATATTTCACTAAGACACTGTACGTGCTTTTTTGTTCAAACTATGAATTAGCAATTTGAACTTTAAATGAGAAAGAGACATCACATACATTTTTATATAATGGATGGCACTTTTCATTGAATTTTGATTTTATAGTCAGCTAATTATAAGTAGCTAAACTATATATACAGTATATATATATATATATAAATAT